ACTTTATTTTACATAAAAATTGTCAATTAAAAGGATAGAATTGACTGGTATTAGGGATAATATTCGTTTTCATTGCCCAAAAGGAAAAAAATCAAGAAAATCATCTATCTTTTGGTATTCGTTTAACTTTATTTTACATAAAAATTGTCAATTAAAGAAAAATGTTTTTTACAATTAGGCATAAAATTTGATCCCATTATTAAATAAAAAAAATGCCTGAAATTCCAATTCTTATCCAAGAAAAGAAGGAAAACTGGCGCGTGGGGGGAAACTTGGAATACCAATTCCATGGTATGTGTGTGCCATCAAACAATAATAAAGATGGAAAGTGAAATTCACTCGCCATGGAATTCATGGCCAATCAAACAGGTCCTTATTTTTTTTTTTTATTTGAAAAAAAAATTGTATTTCCAGCTCTCAAGATATGTTGTCTATCAATGATGTGGAATATTACGGTGTTGCCACATCATCGATGGAATCTAAAATGCTATTGCTGTGTGTTGTCTCATAACCGTTGAGCAAAATATCTCCAATGGATTAATCTCCTCATCCAAGGCCACATGGGCCTTGGATTTCCAGGGGCTGAACAGCTCCTCGGAAATGTGGGCCCTGAATTTTTAGTAGGGCTATATCTTCAATACGTGTATGAATTGACTTTGCCTAATTTGCTTTGCATTTACAAGCCTGAATTTTCATAATCTTGATGCATTTGTAAATAAATGGTTACAATAGGACTAAGACAGTCTAGACTCCAACACGATGAAGAGGATGTGAAAAATTAATTCATCAATTCATTGTCAGGAGCAATTGTTTGAAAATTTTAGTCAACAATTCAACCATCCTCCGTTTGGCCCCCATTTTTTGAAAATAAAAATGGGTAAAATATTTATTTTTTTTAAATGAGAAGTTAAAAAAGAAGGAAAAATTTTCGATTGATGTGTAATACTATTTTATAAAAAATTGTGTGGTTAAAAATATAGATAAAAATAAAACATAATTTAATAAGTACCAAACAGGGACAATATATATAGTGTCAGGCAACCAACACCTTTGACCAGGCTGTATAAAGATATTATCAAAAATGCCCTTTTGTCTATGGTGTAGAGTGTGGGTGGGGCTTTAACAGAGGGGTGAAGTAACACTATTGGAAATTTATTTAATATGCACAACGAAAATAAAACAAATTTTTCAATTCCTACCAATGAGGGAAACTATAATACAGAATTATATCTTTGATGAATTCTTTGAAGAATATTTTTGATCTACAATTTACAGTTGTCCAATTATCCAACCTTCAATAAAAATTCACACATTAAACAAGATGGAGAGAACTAGGGTTTTCTCGTCTTGTGCGAGCAAGAATATGAATTGTGTATTCTCAATAGTTTTTTAACCACTGCCAGCCTATTAATATAAGTTCAAATGAGTTTGGGCCATTTTTTTAACTTAATCTAGTTTTATATTTAATTAATCCAATTAATTAAATTTGGTTCATGAATTAACTAATCTAATTAATTAATTCAAGCATATATAAGAAGCAATTCAATTAATTAATTAATTATCTAACACTTGTCAATTAATTAATTGACAAGCGTGACCCGTCAGGTTCTCAAACATGATATTCAACGACGTGAATTATTATTTTGATCTAATAAAAAATTATAAATTAAAATACCTCATTTTAATTTATCACTAATTTACATTCGTCGTTTCAAATTGACATTTAGCAACGTGTTAGGACAATACATGTGACAAGAAAATATAATGTGGTATGACAAAGTTAATTTTGTTCATTTACCGTGAAATTATAATCTTTTTATCAATATTATCTGATCAATTACGAGATATAAATATGTGTCAATCTCAATTATTGATCATATCTATTATTTCATTATTAAATTAATATAAGTAGAAAACTCCTGTTCGACTTATGAATACACTTTAGCCAAGGATTTCGTTTTCAACTTAACTGAATGAAATATAGATCATAATCCCTAACTATCTAAGAATGACGAATTCTCTATTGATCACTCACAACCTTCATATGATTCTTGACATACCCGTATTAATGGCCTTTGGTAGAACAACATCCAACATTGCCAAAGTATAACTATCCTCGTATAAGACACTGTGATAACCTTAAGTAAAAGAATCAATTTCATTATTGAACATTAGAGATTAATCACTGACGTTCCAATAGTTATCCACGTGAAATTGCTCGAGCGGGTCTCCAATATTTTGTTTTATAATGAAATATTCACGTGTTTATTTAAGTATCACTACACTTTAACATGTATGATAAGCTACTTACGTCTCAAATAAGAAATGTCATATGTGATATTCTATCCGTAATAACGATATCATTATCTTGTTATTGCTTACAATCACAGGTGATTTAAGATTCGATCAAATTGTAATTTGTATTTCACAGTCACAACTCACTATGATTAACCAATCACCGTGACTTAAATCTATGGATACTATTATTTAATATAATTATGAGAAAAGTAGTTCAAATAAATAAAATATCTTATCAAAATAAATGCATTAAATATATTAAAAATTTAAAAGTATTAATAATCTAAATCGATTGGACCAAGGGTATAATATTTACAAACACAATGTGCATGAATTGGAAAGGGGGAGTCAATTCATGTCAGGCTGTAGGGGACCATATTTTGTATAACGACTAATTGTTGTTTGAGCCGCATTCTTTTAAAAAAATACATTCTTAAACATTGATTTGATATCATTTTAATCACACATTCTTCAATAAAATAATATTACACACAAAACTAAAATTTTTCCTCATTTTTTAATTACACATTCTCCATCAATCTACTATTTCAAAATACATTCTTTCAAAAGAACGTGACTCAAACACATAACTATTGCTCCCAGAAAGGGCTAAGAATACTTCTCAACAATGTGTCTAGAGATTGCATTTATGGATGACACTCAACTAATTACAACTTTTTATTGACATCTAATAATCACAGCCAACAGATCACATCATAATGTGGTACGACTCGTAATATGCATAACTCTTCTAGTTATTTGAAATATTTCTAATTTTTATTTTATATATCTTACTTTTTAATTAAAACTTGCATTTGCAATAAATAAACTCTATGTCTTTGTTTAATGATGTGATTCTTAAAATATTGTTTAAATAATTACTTGTCAAGTTTAGGGTAAGTTCCTGATATGGGATGTAAAGTAGATAAGAACGTGAAGTTCTTCAAATGAGGTGTAATTTGGTCGTGGCCTTAGATATGTGGATCCTTTATTTGTATATAGCCAATATGATGTCTTCTTTCGTGCTTTAGCCTTAGCCATTAGGGAGAAAGGCGGAAGCAAGAATAAGAGGGCGTATAATTTTTCAAGCTTTAGTTGTGTTCGTCGTTATTGATCGGGCAACGATGATGTACTTGTAAAAGGTATGAATATGGGCTTTAAGAAGTATCTTTGAATTCGAAATTTGAGTAAACTAGAGATTGTTGAAATTTGGCTCAATTTTTTTTCTTTTTCTCAAGATTTTCTTTGATTTGGAAAGGGATTTAAATTAAAGTTAAAAAGGTAGATCACTTCACACACACACAAGCACCAAATTTTCTTCAACCAAGACATTTTGACATTAAGCTTGAATGCAACGACGAACTCTCACTTGTAAAAGTAAATCATTATAGGGTAACAACTAACAACTATGACTATCTTGTCCATTGGGAAAGAAATAGAAAAACTTAAGTCTTACGAAGTCATTCGGTATTATGATTCCGTGAGTTAATCAAATTATTGAGATCCCAAGAAATTTAGTGACTATAATGCTCAACAATTTTAACTAAAACAGTCTGAATTATCTATTAACGTGGTCGTATTAAAATGTCATTGTACGACGAATTTCGTGTACTAAAATACAAAAATAGTTACAAATTTTATTTTGATAAAATACAGTGATATTGACCTTCTTATAATTACAAAAATCTTTTGACTAATGATCTGAATATTTGAAGACGAGGGGTCACATAACTTGAATTCTGGTCTTCGAGAACTTATGAAAATTTGATTTGTTGAGACTTGACATATTCGGTACTTGGATTTCAGGGTTTGGATTTGAAATTTTACTTTGATTTGATTTGATGTAAAGAAGATATTGATCTTTTTGAACTTAGTGTGAATCTATTTGATTTGAAGAATATTTTGATCTTCCTGGGGTTCACCGAATTTGGATTTTAGAGGATTTTTTCTCTTCCTTCTACTTTGAAATTTCTTCAGCACTTCATGATTGTCTTCTATACTTTCACTTCTTGCTTGCTTTTTCCTTTTCTTTCACTTATCGCTTATAGACCATTGGTCCTATTTATAGTGGAATTTCGGTACTAATTTTGGTAATCACTTAATTTATATTTAATTAAAAATGAATAATTGAGTAATTATGATTTTTTATTACTTGTTTATTTATTTATTTATTTAAAGAGTGAGATCGGCCTTTGGGTTTATGGGCTTTAGTTAGGCTAATGATTTAAATCGATTCAATACATTTTCTTTAAAAATATTTTTATGTCTACAAATGCCCCCTCAAGATTTATTTATTTATTTATTATGAAATAAATAAATTAATAAATCTTGATA